TCTGTCCATATTAATATATTACTCGTAATAAGAACGATTTTAGCTTCATATTTTCCCATCAAATACATTTTTTTGTATAATTATTCCATTTAATTGTTGCAATTAAATGTACGATCGAAAATGTAACTTGACAAGATTTTTTATGCTCGTCTTGAAGTTCGCAAGTTTGTCTTTATTGTTTATACAAGAATTGTATAATAAAGTCTTCTCTTCATTTTAATACATGACTAAACTATCCTTTAATTTATAATCACACCTAATTTCTCTCTGACTAATGATTTCTGATATCAAAATCTCTGTATAATACATATCCCTGTGATTTTTGACAAAACCAAGATAATAATGTGTTTTAAAAAATAATGTGTGGATTTTGGTCTCAGAAACCCACGTTAACTATTTTGTTTTGTTTTGCTTAAACTATGAAGTGATTAGGATAGTATAAACATATTGATAAGGAGTCTTGTTTAATTTTGTTAATGGTTTAATTTGTTAAAGACTAATATTAAATTATTTCTATCTAGTTTTGATAATAAAAAATTATACATTGTTTTTAATAAACAAGGGATTTCGCGAATTGAAATATTGATGAGAAAGAGAAATTTTAATGAAAAAGGCGATTTTTCATTAAAATTTCTCTTTTTTGTATTATAAATTGTTGCAATGAAAATAAATTAGAAACATTAATAATCTCTTTGGAATTATATTTATAGATTTCAAACATATTTTAGAATCAAAATTATCTTAGAAGAGGATCACACGAAGTGATAAGGTTTTATGTTTTAATCGTAAGCAAGAAAAATTTAAGCAATAAAGTTAAACCAGTCTTTTTAACGCTTAATTCGACGAAATTATTTGCAGCGAAAAACCTTTTTGTTTTTTTTAGTAAAGTCATACTTACGTAATTTTCTCTAAACTTGTTCAGTACATTTTTTTTATTAATTGTTCGTCATACTGGACATCATCGAATTAAGGGTTAATCTGGATTATCTGACAAAAAATATCTACATTTTATTTCAATATTATAAATGCGAATGTTTGGATGGATGATGTTTGTTAGTAGGTATCTCCAGAACAGCTGTATAGATTTCACTGAAATTTGTCATAGATGTAGAACACAGTCTGGAAGAACTCATAGGCTACTATTTTTTAATCCGGCGTGGAAGGAGTCGCATGCGACGTCTAGTAATATATAATTTAAACATCTAGATAACTTGCATTCCATTGGAAAACATATGTAGGCGTTGCCAGATGATACATCTAACATCAAATCCCATGTCGAAATGAGACGCTAAAACGTGTTCCAGAGCAACTTTTTCTATAATTTGCATCTAAATCTTTGTAAGCTATCAGAGAGAAAACATATGTCACACTGTTTTGTATAATGCATACGAATTGTGTTTAACCTAATTAAGTTAACTCTATATTTATGGGTGAAGTGTTTTCCATCTTTTAAACTTAAGTCAAAATAAGCGTCTGTGGCTTAGGGGTTAAGCACTCGACTTGTAATCTGGTCCTGAGCTCGAATCCCGCGCTGTACCAATGTGTTTTTCGATTCATTTATCCGACGTAGACGACGTACGACGTATGGTCACTAGCGCGTACCATCTTTCGACCAAATCTCCACTAACACCGGATGGGATCGTGGTCAAGCGCTGGCTTATCAAACGTAAAAAAAAACGTTCTTACGTTGAATTCTTCATAGTGATGTACCGTGAAAATAAAAATGTATTCTTATAGTGGTAGAGTGTTACATTAGTTTATTTAATATTAAACTGTAAAAACATTTATGTCTTATTGTTGCAGAGATCGAAGCGGCGGAGGCGTGCAAATGGCTACGAGCGGCCGGCTTCCCTCAATATGCGCAGATGTACGAAGGTAAATTACATCTTATCTATCCAAATAACAGTAGTTGGACACAATTATATAATAAAATTTATTATTAAAAACAAAAAAAAGGACTGAATGACTAAATTCTTTGGAGAACATATCGTCAAACCCGTCTTTAATCTTTGACAAAACAGATATATTATAACATATGTTTTAAGCGAGATTTTTGGTTTCCGAAACCCAACGTTAGTATCCCTAAGATCCAGGGGAAGAATAAGAATTGAATTTTTTTTTTTTTTTTTTTTTTTA